AACCTCAGCAAAAGGCTGCACGAACACAAACCGGCACTCAGCACTGCAGCACACAGCGCGCAGCTTCTCGCCCCGCCCGGTCCCGGTCCCACCTGGACTTCCCCACGGCGCTGTCTCCGATCAGGATCAGCTTCACGGTGATGCCGGTTCCGTCCATACCCCCACGCAGCGCCCGCCGCCTGCCCGCTATCCCGACCAGCTGCTCGGACTCCGCCCCTCTCTCGGCGGTGCCGGGCGGGGCGGGGCGATCCGTGTCGATCGGCGGAGCTAACGGAGCCTCGCGAGCGTCCGGATCCGGCCATGTCCGATTATCGGATCTCGGTGGAGGAGCTGAACGACCTCCTTGCGAACGGCAGCGGTTGCTACAGCCTGCCAAGCGCGCACAGCAACGAGGTGGTGCCGCGCATCCACGTGGGGAACGCGTGAGTGCGGCGGGCCGGGAGCGGGCGGCCCGCGAGGGGCTGCGTAGGGCTGCGAGGAGCGGGAGGGGCCAAGCCGCCGCCCCCCCCGGGCATCCATAGGGAGCCGCGGGGCCTGACTGGCTGCAGGGCCTGAGCACGGCGCCGTGCGGGCTCCTATGGCACCCAGCGGGCGCTGCCCATAAATGGCACCTGCTGCAGAGCCCGGCTGCGGGCGGAAGGGCTGAATGAAGCGCACGCACAGTTCAGGAGCGAAACGCCCCGTGTTGGGCTTGGAGTTTTTTTTTTTTTTCCTAATTCCTAATTTGGGGCTTCTAATTTTGGGGAGGTTGTCGGTGTTTATAAATAGCTGAAGTGTGGGAGGCGAAGGGACGTGGGCAGCCTCTTGTCTGGGGACAAGGACGAGGGGAAATGGGCTGAAACTGGAGCATGGGAAGTTCTGCACCAATATGCAGAAGGGCTTCACGGTGAGGGTGATGATGGAGCACTGGGATGGGCTGCCCAGGGAGGTGGTGGGGTCTCCTTCTCTGGAGATATTCCAGACCCATCTGGATGCCGACCTGTGCAGCCTGATGTAGGGAGCTGCTTGTGCAGCGGGTTGGACTCAATGATCTCTGAAGTTCCCTTCCAAGCCCTGCAGTTCTGTGATTCCCCTGCTGCCTCCTATCCTTGTCCATGGTTACCCAAGGGACGGGATGCTGTGGGGTGACAGGGCAGCAATAGCTGCGTGTGCCTCAGAGCTGCTCAGGCCCTGTGTTTGCAGTGCATTCCTTTATCCCATTCTGTTCCAGCATCTGCTTGGAGCTGGAGACCTCAGTGTGCTGCGTGTCAGCTCTGTGCTCGGCTCCCTTCTCCATTTCAGCCTTCATTGCACAAATGTTACTATCTTTGCAGAGCTGCTGGGAGCACTTCATGGGGGGAGCAGGAGAATAAAGTAATGCGGTCGTTTGCTCTGACAAATCTCCTCTCTGCCTTGGAGGGATCAAGCACTGCCTGCAATGTGAGGCTGCTCCCACAGCTACCGGGGGCAGGGATTTTATAACAGAGAGAGAATTTACAGAGTAATGACATCCACGGAGAGTTTTACCATGGAGAGGTTGGAATGTCAACACCCAGCATGAAAGAAACAGAACTTAAACAGAGTTTGGACAGGAATTCATGGCAAGAAATTAAGACATCTGAGTGAGAATTCAGACAGTTCTGCTCGAAGCCTTTTACAATAGTATGCATATTTTTTTCTCTCCTTATGAATGACTCAACCTCGGGTAAAAGTAACAGCGCTGAGACGTTCAGGAGGATGAGACTGAATGGGGTCACAGCGTGGGATAACAATTTGTCTGTCAAGTACCACGTCTCCCTTGCAGTACATGGAAGTTATCATTAATGCAAACACAGAGGTGAAATGATAAAATAAAAAGAGAGCTTTTGCATATCACAGCAGACAGTTGTAACCTTTCAAAGCGATCAGACGAGAGTTCTGAAGATGAGTCAAAATGCAGTATCACTAAAACAAGAAAGATCAGATTAGTGACATTCACACAATGTGTTTTTCAAGCAGCAGCACAGTCAGACAATTCAGATGATATCAGAAGTACGAATAATGTCCTATCATGGCCAGCATCAGGATATATTTGAGTGTAATCTCATGGTAAATGAGCAGGACAGCTGGACAGAATGCATCTTTGCCAGGCTTGCAGAGCACGTATCTGAGCATTCTGGCTGCTTGAGTGTGTATGGTTAACCCACAAAACAATTTTTTGTTCCTAATGGGCTCAAAGTGCAGTAAGGAATCTGAAGGATCCCAAAATCCCAATCCTAATCCCAAAATCCTAATCCCCAAATTAACATGAAGTTGAGTGGTGGAGGAGCAGCTTTGCATGGACGTAACAGTGGAAATGAAAATGCGCTGTGGGGCAGTTTTTGCTCCGTATTAAAGATGTGGTTTATTTGCTTGGGTGAACGGGTGCAAAGCAGATTCCCATGGATCCCAACCACTATCAGATATGCCCTGACCCACGCACTGTTCCTTGTGCCACAGTCACCACTTAAACAGAGGAACTCGCAGGTGAATTAACGCTTTTTGTTTTGGCCTTGCTCTGTAGGATTTACTTTTGTGTTGCAAGCAGAATTCCCTTGGCCCTGATACTTGTCCCCTGGCACAGATGATGTCCTGCCAGATGGAAAAATCTGTCAACATTTGTTTGGGTAATGAAGTCCTTTACAAATACTTGGCCCGTTGCCCGTAGTTGTTTGGCACCGAGAGAAGATGTAGAAACTTCACTCATGCATAAGAATTCGTGCGTGAGGATAATTTAAGGGGTGAAGGGTCGTTAGGAGGAAAGGAATGCTCTAGATGTTCATAAAGCCTTGAGTTATGTGAACGTTGCCCTATGCAACCACGTGGTGTGATAACATACATCTTGCTTTCTGTGTTTCTGTACTCCTGTGGCTTGAGAAGGAGCATTGGAGGCCGCCAGCAGAGGCTGCTTGTAGCTGGTTCTTAAATTAGCACATGGAGAGAGTGGTTAATCATAGGAGCAATTAGCCAGGCATTTCTGCGATCTCCTAAGTTTCCTTAGTTCAGTCAGAATTTAATGTTCACAGCTACAGCTGTGCCATAGTAGGGAGCAGAGGATTAAGTCCCAGTGTTCTGCTGTCAGCCAGGAAAGGAGCATTCTCTGACATGCAAGTAGTGACCAAGGCTCTGAATATTTCCGCGTGTCAAATCTTTAGCTAATTTGAGCGCTGTATATTTAGCATCCCTGAGCAGAAAAATGCAACCTTTCGGTCATCAGTAGCTTTTGGGGACGTCGTCAATACCGAGACACCGAGTTCTAATCGTTTTCTTGACACTTTTTGTCACACAGGTTCATAGCCAAGAACATTATGAAGCTGCAGCGCCTGGGGATAACCCATGTTCTGAATGCAGCAGAGGGGAAGTCATTCATGCATGTGAACACTAATGCAGAATTCTATGAAGGCACAGGCATCACATACCATGGCATTAAAGCTAACGATACGCAGGAATTTAACCTCAGTCGATATTTTGAGGAGGCAGCTGATTTTATTGAGAAAGCACTTTCCCAGAAGGATGGTAAGGCAAACTGAAATGTCTTTCTGCCTTATTTTCTGTACGCTGCGTATGGTTTAGCTCTTTATTTCACTGCTTGAAGTGGTTCTTTGCTCTGATTTTCAGTTGGACAGGCAAACCAGTGATTCAGATCAAGCCTTGGCATCAAAGACACCTGAATATTCAATAAAACATCTTAGTCATCTCTCTATGTATGTGGACCTCCAGTATATGTTAAGTGGAAGTCTGACATTTTAGGGATGACTTTGCAAAGTGAAACAGCAACTGCATCCTGAAGTAGTGGCTGTCTGTGCCCTTATTATTCCTCAGACAGATGAAAAGCCCAGAAAGCAAATACAGGATCTAAAAGTAGTTTTACAGCATTGGAAGGCAAAAATGATGCAGGTAATGCATTGCTGAATTTGCTGTATGTTTGCTTCTCAAGCATACAGTAAGGACAGAGCCTGTCTCTATGATCTTATTATTATTTTATGTCACAATTACCCCTTTAGTCCCTGGGATTCCAGGAAGGCTGGAGATGATAGGTGAAATGCTGTTGATTGCCACATTTCTCTAACAGTGTTTCCACAGAGCAGAAATCCTGGGGCAAAGTGCAGTGGGTCAGAAGGTGCTTCTGCTCTGACTGTTGCAGCATACCACTCGTTTCTACATATGCTTCATTTCTTTCTTGCTTCGTGACTAAATGTGAGCAAAGAGGAATGAGGATTCCCACAGTGCCAAGAGTTCTGTCCCTGAAGTGGGCAAAAGGGGAGCTGCAGCTGGGATGTGAAGTTAAATGCCAGCTCTTGCAATTAGTTCTATGACCCACTGATACAGCCTGCAGTTGGAAGAAGTGTTCAGCAATGCCAGCTATGCATTGGTCCCCACCAACTTCAGCTAATCTGATCAGAATCGACAGCAGCACTTCTGCTTTGCCATTCTTTCCGTCTAAATATTGCCTCCTGTGACTGCTGCTGTTTTCCTGCCGTGGTAAACAAAAGAACTTTGTAGCTGGGTGGCGGTGGAGCCAGGTTTGAGATTAACTCACTACTTAAATATGATAGGGGATTTTTTTTTGCAGTGAAAGGTAGAGCAAAAGCAGTAGCGAAGTGATGAAGGATGCAGTACTGCTCTCTCCTGCAGTTTCATTTCAGCTTTGTAGCTGCACGAGGTTCTGGAGGGGAGCAAAATGAAGGCAGGGCTGCTGTACCCAGATCAGCCCAGGATTCTCACTGCCTTTCACAGAGGAAGGCCAGAAACCCTTTTGCTTCTGACCGTAGAAAGGAAGTCAGTTCTCTTCCACATGCTTAAGAATCTTTGAATCCTGCTAATTCATGGCTGCAGGCTCTCAGGAAATGTAAAGAATTAATTGTTTTAGCTGTTCAACTCGCTTCTGATTAGAGGTTTGCCTCAAGCTGAGCAGAATATGCAGCTCAAGGCAAATATGGTAACAGGCTTCCGAGCAAGTCGTGGCCTCAGCAAGTCTGTGTGGTTCATCTGTTCTGTGGTCTCAGAAAAGAATTTACTCTGGAGGGGAAGCCTGGGGTTGTATTTTGTGTCTGGAAAAGCAGGGCAAAGAGGAAGCAGCTGAGAAGCAATAAAAATGAGTTAGGTTTCTCAGAGGGAGCAGCAGCCTGCTTAATTATTGTTGGATGCCAACTGTCAGCATTTTTCCAATAAACATGGGAATAATTTCCCTAATCAGTTAGCTGGAAGCTTTTCATTGGTGCTGGCAGAAGGTACTTCTGGTTCTTGTTATTGCATAATTAGTGGTTTCTTTTACTTGAGTGTTAGTGTGATTCATAGAGAGCCAGACAAGCAGCCAGGTATGATCCAGCACGGAGTTATCATGGGAATTGACAGCAGTGCAGCCAGAAGGGTGGGTGTCCTTGAGGAGATACAGTATGTGACAAACAGCATCTGTCTGCAGCGTATTTTAAACGGTGCATCATTGATTCGTGCTGTTTGGTACCCAGTCATCCTTAGGTACAAGACATTCTGAAATAGAGATTGGAGAAATATAGATAGGTGCAGGCTGGCCTTCATAATGCAGCAGCAAATACACTGCAGTGTGAGTGATGTAGAACTGTTAATTCTGCATTATCCACACGTCAGGCTGTAGCAGCTATCGCAGCCATAGCATCAAGTTTTACGTATCTCCATCAGAATTCCCAATTCAGAGTCCTGGGTGTTCCGAAGGACGAATTGTCGCGATTTATTTCATGCTGCATTTCCATCCTCTGTTCCATTATAACCCACGTTATGACCTGTTTTCCCTGCAGGACAAGTGTTTGTGCATTGCCGTGAGGGCTACAGCCGTTCTCCTACGCTGGTCATCGCCTACCTCATGCTTCGCCAGAACATGGATGTCAAGTCTGCTTTGGTCACTGTCCGGCAAAAGAGAGAGATTGGCCCTAATGATGGCTTCCTAAGGCAGCTTTGTCAGCTAAATGAGCAGTTAGTGAAGGAAGGCAAAGTGAAGCCCTGAAACAGAGCGCTGTAGTGTTTCTGGGGTGTTTTCTCAAACCATCAGAGGATATATGAAGTGCTTTAGATTCCTAACCCCCCAGCCGCCAAGCTAAGTCACGTTGTGTGAGGGAGGCAGAATTCCTGCTCTTGTCTAGTGAAGGGGTCTTTCTCAAACTGTGGGTCTGTCTTTCAAGGTGGCACAACTTGTTGTGTCGCTTGTGGGAGTTGTTGCAATATAGAGGTGTCTTTAGAGGGGTTGCTCGGGTGAGGACAGCTGTTCACACATATTTCAGTGCCCCTTTGCAGGCTTTGTAACATGCTTTGCATTGACATCCCGTTGCCTCATTCAAGCTTTGTATTTTACTCCACCAGAGCACTGTTTGCTGAGAGCCCCCATACATCTCTCACTCCTCATTGAAGTACTGTGTTTTCTAAAGCTTCTTTTTCATGCACACAGGTGCCTCAAGTTTGAGTGTAGGAGCTTCAAGGAACGGAGCAGCATATATGCAAATGCACAGATGCACTCTTGCAAAAAGAAGTATGCAGTATTGTGTTCAGTGTGGATATATGCAATACACAGTGTGTGGTAGTAAAGCCATTCAGAGCCTGACCTTGATGCACACTGTATTTCCAAGACTATTTGTACCACTTGCTGTTGTGATTGACGTGAAATAGTCTGATATTAAAGTTTATTTTTATTATAAACTCACACTCTGAAGAAAATGTGGAGTAAATGTTGAGAAAAGAACTCCAGCAAGGGAAGAAGAATGGCTGTACTTAGGAGTGCTTGTACTGGGTGTATGATGAAGCGTGAAGTATCAGGATGGAATGGCTTCTGAGGTTTGTATTGAACCACAGTCTCCCTGTCCTTATGCTGTTGCTGTTTATTAATGTGGAATAGCAAGATGATATCTACAGATTTCTTCCAGCATTGCAGTGCAGGTGTGCTTACAGAGCATTTTGTTGGTGCACTCTGACTTGAATTATTTGCATGGCTCCATTCAATAGAAACCACCGTTGTTACATGCCACGTGGAACAGAAAGCGTTTCCTTTCTATTAAAATAAATCATACCTTGATTCTGTTGGACATGCAGATGAAATGAGTCATTGCAGTGATGGGAGAGGGAGCCTTGTTTACGGTATGCTCGAGTGGGTCTGCGTGTGCCTGTCAGTTATTGCAGCTCTGTGAATGCAGAGGATCTCCCTCTACAGCCTCAGAATTGTTGGCTGTGCTGTCAGAACCCTGGGAGGTTTGTGATCCCTTTTTAGCCGTGCTTTAATGAGGGTCTAGGTTTAAAATCCTAACGCTGCTTTAACTGGAAACACCTGTATTAATAATCCACCTGAGTCCAAATCCAGTTTTATGTATTTGTCTCACTATAAAAAAAGCACAGGACAGACATTGTTAAGCTTCTTTAAAAATTTTGTAACACGAGGGTGGAGGGGAACGAAGACAACTCTATTAGCAATTGATTTAAAGTGCTGCAACACTGTGGTAAGGAACTGATGGGTGACTCAGAAAGGACGTTATTTTAGCAGTATTTGAGGCTAAGCAGGGACTGTAAAATCCACATCTGCCATAGAACAAAGATATCTGCCAAGTCAAATCCAGCGCAGTGAAAGAGATGCAGCAGCTTGGGCTTTTTGTGCTCAGTTGGAGAAGTTGGAAGGTAGAGGGGAGCGGGGCGAGGAGCTCTTATGTTACAGCAAGGAACAAAGGAGGATGTTCAGATAGATAATCATCCCTCTGGAATGATGATATATGCAAAAATGAATCCATCTGAGCTGCGTCTCCCAGCCATCAGCACCCGAGGGAAGTTTCCAACTCAGAATTTCGATCCAAAGGAAAAACTGTGTTTTCTGAGTGCTGTCCTCATCCTTCGGTCCTGCGCTGTTGGCAATGACAATCTTGTGTCTAATAAGCTCTTCTGAGCTGTAAGTAATTCAAGGCCAGGCTGGATGTGGCTCTGGGCAGCCTGGGCTGGTGGTTGGCAACCCTGCACGTAGCAGGGGGTTGAAACCAGGTGGGCATTGTGGTCCTTTGCAACCCAGGCCATTCTACGGTTCTGTGATAATGCTGAATGCTTTCCAAGAGAGCGTTGCAGTTGGACACACTTAGCAAAGTTATTTCAAAATTAGAGTTAACAGCATCCTAAGACCAGACTGGCAGCTGTAATACGTTGTGTTGTAATTCCCTTTAAACTCATGTAAGTGTTGGACACATTTTCCTCCTAAAGATGTGTATGTCTGGCTTACCTCCCAGTGCCAGGAGAGTGCATCTTCCAGCAGTACCCTGCAGATCCAGGCTGTGTGTGTGTGTGTGCTCCTTGAGCTGGAGCAGCACTCCCATCCGACCCATCCTCCTCCTGCAGAACAAGGCAAAAACAGCACACAACACATCAGCAATGTTCCTCTCCACAGTGTTCCCACTTCTGTTGTGCAGAACTAACCAAATCTGCTACAACTGGAAGCAGTGGTTTGTTTTGGTCACAACCCTGAGGAAGTATCTTCCAGGGGGTTGCAGGTGAGAATGAGTGTCCTTATTCCTCATACAGCAAACGCATCCTGTGCATGGCATTACAGTGCAGAAGCCAGGTGAGCGTTTGCTGTTGCTTTTTCATTAGGAGTTGGATTTGGAAATCTACATCACCGTTCTGAAACTGCTGTTGACATCTGTACATCATACAACGATCAAACTGGCATTGACAGCAGTTCCCCAGTTCCCTTTTCACAGCCCCTCTCTTTCTCCAACACGTTCTTGTATACCTGGAGCTCAAAAGTTCCTTTTTAAATATAAAGCAAGTACTGCTAAATAGATACATGTGTTATATATATATATATATATATATGTACATATGGGAACAAAAAGTGCTGTGGGAAGGTTTGATGGCACTGACCTGACATTGAGCTGGTGGCTGAGCTGCTGCCTTATGGAGACGGTTGTGTTTAATTGCTGTCTGTAACTTTTGAATGGGCAATGACTGTATTCCAGTTTTTATTCTTTGGACAACGAATTCATTCCTTCTGTTTTGGAAACAAGCCCTGTAAGTGGAAGCTGTGGGAGTAAGTCAGCTGAGGGCTTTTTGGTTGGTTTTTGTTGTGTTTTTTTTTTTTCTTCTCCATATTTTAATTCCCTGCCAAGGTAGCTGGCCAGCTGACTCACCAGATGGAGCTGTAGGCTCGTTGTTCCCCACTAAGCAGCCCTCATTCCATCCCTGACCAAAGCTGTTATGTGAATCTGATGTCTTGGCACCAGCAAGGCAAGCAGCCAGAACCATTCAGCAGCACATTTGCTGATCTCTGGTGGGAGAACGATACGGATCTGTTTGCTCTCGGTGACGTAGAGGAGTCCATGCTGTAGCATTGGGGCTGCAGGGTGATAAATGGCTCTGCGGGATCCCTGGGAGAGAACAGGGCTCGGGCATGGGCAGCTCAGCAGTATTTTGGGGAGAGGACTGCTTGGGAAGCAAGGGAGTCCTTCAGAAAGTGGATTGCTGGGGCAGTGTGTAGATGATGGGCAGAGTTCATAGAGCTCAGGCTGTGCACATCCCTGAGGGTGTGGATGCCCCACAGAACCCCCCTTGGTCGAGGGAGGGCAGTGACACATGGCAGAACTGACTGCAACAACTGGGTTATGCAGATGTCTTCAAAGGGCAGTGACAATAGCAGGACACAAAATCTTGAGCCCAGAAAGCAGCAGCCAGAAATGAGCCCAGAACTTGAGCCCAGAAAGCAGCAGGGATTCAGGATGAGCACACGATGCTGTTTTACCCCCTCTACCTGCACCCCAGTCATGTCCTGGAAGCACAGAAGCACATATCTGATCCTTAATGAGGCCAAGGGAGAATTTTTTTCAGCTCTCATTATGGCAAACCCAAACTCAGCGCACTCTCAAAGTGTCCTTGGTAGAAATCACAAATGTCTGTTGTTTGCTTTTTTATTTTCTCTTGTGCTTCATTAACAGAGCAGAAATCAATTGTTCCTGGGGGCTGCAGCCTGAACTGTTCCTGCTTGCTGTGCTGTGAGCAGGCAAGCAGCTACAGGACGTGGAAGAATGTGTTTGTAGTTAAGGAATCTGAACGTCCCTGGGATTCTTTTCTTACTGCTGTCAGGCTGCCCTTGCTGAGGTTTTGTGCCAGAGGCAAAGTGCAGCTTCTCATTTTCACCTTCAGAGTTTTGCTTGCTGCTTCTCCCAGCGGGTGATACAGATAAATGTTCAGACAGTTTGTCAGAGAGGGCATCGTTCAAGTGCTTAGAGAAACCTTAAGAAAACCTTTACATCTTTTTATTGACACTACATTGTTGTGAATGCGCTTCCTGATCACTCTTGGAAATATTCTCTGTGCAGAAATTAACACAAACTGAGCTTTTATAGGCAAAGTTATGCCATTCTGAACACATTTGAATAGGGTAAGAATCATAGAATGGCTTGGGTCGGAGGGGACCTCAAGGATCACGAAGTTCCAACCCCCTGCCACCCCCAGGGCCACCAACCTCCCCATTTCATAGCAGCCCAGGCTGCCCTGGGCCCCATCCAACCTGGCCTTGAACACCTGCAGGGATGGACGGGGCATCACAGCCTCTCTGGGCAGCTGTTCCAGCACCTCACCGCTCTCATAGTAAAAGAACTTCCCTTGAGGAGCAGTTAGCAGTGCTCACTGATGATGGGGGCTCTCCCATTCATCCCTTGGCTGTGTTCTGTTGTGCCATGTGTTGTCCTATAGCACTTGGAAGAGGGTTGCTGAGCTGGTGGTGTTCCTGTCTGACAAAACACGCAGTTTGGTTCCCATCATCCTTACTTCTAAAACAATTAAAGAAACAAAAGAAATCACACGGCTCAATTATAAGACTTGCAAGTAGAGCCCAAGAGATCATCACACACAATTTCAAGCTTAACTCATTAAGCACCATAGCCCAGCTTGTTTTCAAAGAAAGATAAAACCAAAATCCTGCATGGAAGATACCCAAGCTGGTGTCTGTCATTTCTTCAGAATCCATTTCCCTCAGTGCTCCCATGGTGCTCCAACACAATATTCCTCCCTGCTGCATGGATCTGGAATCCAAACACATTGATTTGGAGCTGAGAAAAATTACAGTTGGAAAAACCTTTGCAACGCCTCAGAATTTGGGTTTGGGGCATCTGTGAGGCCATCACTATTCACATCACAATTGCTTTGGGTGGAAGAGGCGTTCTTAATTGAAAGAAATGCAGTGGTGCTGCTGCAGCCCATTGAATGGAGCAGGGAGGCTGAAGCTCCCCCAGCTCAGCACTCAAAAAGCCTCCGCTGTGCGTGTCTGGGGGTGTGGAAGGGCAAAGAGGTGAAATGCCCTCGGGTCATCACTGCTGTTTGGATGGATTATTTATCATCAGGGTCACCCCACAGGAGAGCACATCTCCGCTTCACGTTTGGTGACACCTGTTTTCTGTGCCAGGGCAGGGGAATGGCTGGAATGGAATGCAAGCCTTAGGTAACGAGTTCCCTACAGGAACAGGGGGAAACCAGACAGCCCCAACTGCTCCCACCCCTCACAGAGGCAGAGGAGAACTCAGAGGCTCCTGTTGACGTTCTGAGCAATGTTTCAAAGTGCTGAAACTCGGTGAATCGCTTTGGAATCTCTTCTACATGCATGGGGATGGATGCGACAGACGTTGCAGGAACATGCACAGGTGTCCTTCGCTGCTCTGAGAGCACATTTGCTTTCAGTAGCTGTGATGAGCTCAGTGCAGGGTCTGCTCTCACTGAAGGGCTCTTCCTGATTGATGCATTTAGCCTGATAGCATCTGCAAACACCACAGAAATATTTGTGGCCTTGAGATGCAGAAATCACCCAACTGTCCCCATTATTGTCTACAATTCTGCAAGGAAAAAGAATACCATAAGTGAGATTTTGGAACACGATGCATTAATAACACTTAGGCATAGCTGCCTTGGGCATAAGGGCATCATCTCTATCTTTTTCTTAGTTGCATCATGCACAGAAATCAGCCTGGCCACCATCCTGTGTTTAAAATAATCTCATGTGCTGCACCCAAGCCTTGTGCAAAACACCAGCAGAAGGAGCAGCGTGCAGTGATCCCACAGTGCATGTATTGAAAATAAGGGAGAAAAAAAAAGGGAGAGCACCTCAGAAAGCAGCACCTGGCTGCTTGCCCCGACAGCCACACTCCTCAGAGCTGATTTCTGTTAAATAAAGCAACTTCTCATTTTGGAAGGAAGCTCTTTCCTTGTTTCTTTCGGTGCGTTTGTGACACAAGATGCCAGAACCCCAAAAACTACATAGAAAGTGGGGCTGCAGTGCACACTGCTCCCATCAACCCGCACTGCTGCCAGACACAAAACCCAACAGCACGAGGAGTTTGGAGGTGGAAGTTGTAGAGTCCTGTCAACCAAGCCACCCCCACGCACCAGTTCTATTTCACACTGACAAAAGCTGAGATGAATGAGTTGCTGTCTGGCCCTTCCCACTTTGGACAGCCATTGGCTGGCTTGGTTCTAAAAAGGATTTAAAAAAGGGGAATGATTTGCCTGTGCTTGGGAACTGAGGCTGTCAGGGTGCTGAGGAGCCGAGCCGTGAGCTGCCACCATGCAGATCTCCTGGGCTGTGTGCTCTGTCTGCGTCCTCATCCAAATCGCATCCCGGGCAGCTGGAGGATGGCAAGTGTTCAAAAATGATGCGACAGAAATCATCCCTGAGATCACCGAAAATACAGAGACCCCCATGGAGCAGATTTACAGCAACAACAACACGATGAACCAGGCAAAGCACGGGGGAAGGCACATACAGCAAACTCCGGACCCTAACGGTAAGACAAATCACGTTAGATTGCTGTTTTGGACCCTAACAGTTTGCAAGAGATGAGGTGTTATCAGAACCTGTTTTTTTTAGTCAAATAGGTGTGGAAGGGAATTAAAGACTGAGGAGGAATCGGGGTGGTGGGGTCTGAGATCCCCAGCACAAGTGCTGCTCAGCTGGGTGAGCTGTGCTGCTCCGTGTCCTTTGCTAACAGTGGATTTTCAGCTGGATCGCAGGAGGCAACAGGAGTTAGAGCACTTCCAAAAGAAATTCATGCCCAAGTGAATGGGAGAGGATCCTCTTTGGCAGAGGTTTGGAAGTAGGTTGGGTACTTAATAGATTTACTGCGTTTGGGCAAATGTGTGATGTTCACAATGATGCAAAACAGCTTTGGGAGGACGGACGGAAGGCAGAAAGAGCAAAGGAGTTTTTAGAGGGAGCACTTCTGGAAACAGGGCAACTCAGTTCTTTCGGACCTGCATTTGGCTGCCAAATGCAGCTCACTCAAAGCTCACCCCATCTCAGGGGTCGGAAGGGACACATCTGGAGGTTAAAATCATAATATCAAAAGAAAAAAAAACTAATGATATTTTTGAGTGCTGCTTCATGGAGATCTGAAATTCCCCAAAGGGAGCACTGTGCTTCCTGCAGGCAGCCCCACATCCCCAACTCAAGGCAGGTTGGTTCGCTTACATCTGCAAATCCTGATTTGGAGCCTCTGATTGCTCTGATATCCACTGGGGTCCATACCACTGAAATGTGCATGGGGTTTGGGGTGAAAAGGAGGGAGTAAAAGGTATTAACTGGACAGGGTATCAGGGTATGCAATAGCCTTGTATACTTATTTTTATGTCTTTGACATAAGGAATGAAAATGCTGATCCAAAAGCAGCCAGACCTTCCGGGGTCACACAAGGTTGCAGAACAGCATCAATAATTTTGCAGCCTGTGCACCCTGTGCATGCACAGGGCAGGTGACATATGCACAGAAAGGACTGGCAGACTCAGGCTTCCATTTGTAAGCTGCAGATTTCCATCCCAAGTCGTGCTCATGACTCAAAATTATACCTTCTCCCTAAGAGAAGAACATTACCGTGTGTTCCTCTAGATGGAGTTGTTTGATAAACATCTTCAAAAATCAAATTCTGTGTGTTGCAAGCAGGTCAAGTAGCAGAGCATCCCAAGTGGCAAAAGAGGCACCTTTGGAAAAGGACAGTTCCTACAGTGAGAAAGTTCGTCTAAATCCTGAATGTTAAAAGATTTCTATTTCCTGATGTTTCATTTATCTATAGTTATCCAATAGGAAAAAAATAAGGGGGAAAATGCCCCACAAAGTTCCTTATCATCTGAAAGGTGCCTCTGAAAGATTTGGGATTACCACAGAAAGCAGTAAGCTTAGAGAACATTACGACTGAAGAGTGGAAATTCCGTAGCCCTGTTGATTTCCCTCACCTTGCATGTTAGCTCAGAGACACTTCAGGAAAACTTCCCTTCTGCAGAAGAGTTTAAATCTGGAAGGAACCTCTGAGGTCAATAGAGTTGAACCAGAGCATTGGGGAAGGCTTTGTCCATGGCAAATGAAGCCAGTAGAGTAAGCGCTGGTGCTGGGCACCCCCTGAGCTCAGTGCTCACCAGCACAGCCCTGCGTGGGGTCTGCCCTGTGATGGGGGCAGGCGTGGATTCATCAACCTATCCATGGTGGTTCAAGGGTCTCACAACTAGAGCAGCCTTGGCATCTTTGGAGACCTCAAACCCATCATTCAAGGTGGCTGAATTACAGTCTGCTTGGGTTGGAAGGGACCTTACAGCCCATCCAGTTTCAACCTTCTTGTCATGGGCTGGGTGCCCCCCAGCAGCTCGGGCAGCCCACTGCCCATCCATGGCCATGGGACCTGCTGGGATGGGGCACCTACCACTCTGGGCAGCAGTGCCAGCATCTCATAACCCTTTGAGCAAAGAATTTCCTCCTCTCATTTGATTTAAATCTCCCCTCTTTCAAAAACCATTTCCCCTTGTCCTGTCACAATCAGGACAAAAGCACTATCAGTGTAAAAAATCACTCTCCATCTTTTTTATGAGCCCCCTTTAAGTACTGGAAGGCCACAATGACATCTCCCCACAGCTTTCTCTTCTCCAGGCCAACTCTCAACCTGACTCCATAGGAGAGGTGCTCCAACCTCTGAGCACCCTCACGACCACCTCCAGACTCTCTCCAACATCTCCACATCCTTCTCAACGCTGAGGGCTCAGAGCTGATGGCTTCCTTGTGGATGGGAAGGCAGCAGCCACACGCTAACACCCTTCTCCTTTGCAGATGTCTCCGACTTCAGCTGCAGAGAGATGCGCATCACCCGCTACGTGACGGAGGGGCCGTGCCGCAGCCTGAAGCCCGTGAAGGAGCTGGTTTGCTCGGGGCAGTGCGTCCCATCCCACCTCCTGCCCAACTCCATCGGCAGAGGGAAGTGGTGGAGGCAGAACTCCCCGGATTATCGCTGCATCCCGGCTCACACCCGCACGCAGCGCATCCAGATGGCGTGTCCCGACGATGAGACTCGGACTTACAAATTCCGAGCGGTCACAGCCTGCAAGTGCAAGCGATACACTCGATACCACAACCAGTCTGAGCTGAAGGACTTTGGGAAGGAGCCCGCCAGGCAGCAGAAGAACAAGAAGTCACGTCTGTCCCGAGCCAGGAGCAGCAAACCGAACCAGCATGAGCTGGAAAACGCCTATTAGGAGGTCGTGCCAAGTGATGCAGCCCAGCAGCTCTGGATATTTTATACCATATACAAAAACGGCATGCACAGGCCGAGCACGAGGGTCTGACTGCAGGTGGTTCCAATTCCTTCTGCTACGCTGGGTCTAAGGCTCACATAGTCAAAATCCATCAGATGATAGCGGTTATGGTCTGATAAGAGAATGAGATAAACCGAGCTGGTGGGAGCAGCAGCTACGTTCAGTTTGAGAGGAGGGGACACCCTGGGGGTCAGCATGAGGCCACCTGGTTTGTACAAGGAGAGGGAGGCGAGGCTGTTAGGGTACAGCCACAGCACACCTGGTTAGGAGTCGTTCTGCTTGTGGACGTGGAAGGAATGCCACATCCCTTTCCCTTTTCTGAATCCCGTGGTGCAGGACAAGTGAGGTGGGGCACTGCAGTCCCATGGGGTTGGGGATGCTGGGGTTGGGGAGGCTGGAGCTGGGTCTCAGCTGGAGCCAGGCTGCCAGAAGGGAACGTCCTCTGCCAGGTGTCCTCATGCCCCAGTGGTTTCCTTCGAGAAAGAAAACCAAAATATGACATTTGTGCTCTCATAAGTGTGACCAATCCATGTCACACTTCTAATTAGAATGCTGTAGGGCCAGCAGGTTCAGAACTGAGAACTGACAACCAAACCATCCTATTCTTTTAGGAGCAAGGGTTTGGGTTAGGACCAGTTAAGCGAGTTCTCCTAAGGGAAGCAGTTTTAGGAAATGGATGCTCCTCTCAAGAGAGATAACCTCACTGATGTTTGTCTTGTAAACAGCTAATGATGTGCACAGTTTAGCATTAAAAAATACTGATTAGTCCTTGTTTCCTAGTACACAACTGACTTTAGTATCAACCTAGATATCTCAGCGTACATTTCCTGTTCTGTAGCCTTTGAATGACTTGGCCATACACCTTGTAGAGCTAAGACTGTGCAAGCCAAGTTCTGGGAGAAGGGTTCTGCATGAGAAGTGGGCCTCTGCTAATCTGAAAGTCATGAATTCCTTTAGAAAAGTCTTTGTTATGTGCAGCTCTGGTACATCTTTAGTTTGACAGCAACTGTACTTCTCAACATTCAGACTGAAGTTTGTGTTTTTCCATTAAAGAATATTACTGGGAAGTGAATAGCCACACGCTGTACGTATCCTGTAGAAGTGCTAGGCCTAGAATCAGACAAACACAACTTGGGATAAAGGCAGTTCCTCTCTGTTCTTATTTTCTGTCTAGAGCTTATGCAGAGATCATACCAACTATGGCAATTTGCCATGTTGATTATAGATTTTGCAGTTATTTTATGTGGGACCAGAATCTAGAGAGAAAAGCTATTGTTTCAAAGAGTGAATTATGTATTTATTTTGTCTCAAAAATTATTTATGCAACGTTTTCCCTTGTAGAGAATGAGAAGTTAAACTGCTTGAAAAATCTTAGTCTGTTATTTGAATTTTAAATACATTGGTAATAAAGTAGAAACAATGATTAATTATGGGAAGACTCGTTGACTTTCAGCTGCAATATGGGGCTGTTTGCTGTAAAGGCAGTGAATTACAGAACTGGGGCTTGGCTCCAGCCTGGCACATACATTTCTATGATGCAGAGCACCGAGATCCTTAATTTCCAATTAATAAATGACACTTCTCTAAGGTTACTCCATATTGGAGCTTCTCACCCCTGGCATGACCATTTCTCATGGAAATATCAACTTGGGCAGATGTGGAGCTCAGAGCCTCACGTCACCATTCTCATTTCTACTCCCCAGGGAAAGAGCAGCTCAGCAGATTTCAGCTCCTTCCAGTAGCACTGATTCACAGGTTCTCAACCTGGTAAACCCACTAAAACCCAAGAAGGCCATTGACTTTCAATCAAGAACTCTTGATTGACATTTGATTAGAATCATAGAATCATAAAGGTTGGAAAAGACCACTCAGATCCCCAAATCCCACCACAACCCATTGCCACCATGCCCACTCACCGTGTCCCTCATTGCTTCACATTTCACTCATTGGAAGACACCAAGCAAGAGCTGCAAAGCAGCAGCCAGTTTTTAAGATAACAACGTAAACCAATGCCCAATGCAATTTAAAAGGTTAAAAAACAAAGCCCACGAGCACATGCTGGTTGCAGGTCTTTCACAGATTAAGGATCTGCTGCAAGTGAGCCACCAGCATCTTTCTCCCTAAAGATCACCACCAAAAAAACAACCATAAAACCAAACCAAAAGAGAAAGAAACCATCAAGAAAAGAAAAACACCAACAACTTCCATGCATTTTCTTCTACCAGGTGTGCAGACGTATCCTGCTGTTAAGCTGCCATTCAGAGTTTTGCACTTTTCTGCCTTACAACTAGATCTCTGTGCACTGGAAAAGCATTTACAAGAACACCTAGAACAGGACAGAAATATAGAGGTGCTTTAATTAACCCTGTCTGTGTTTGCTGGAAGCATTTCTTAGGGCCCAAGGGCCACGCTGAACACAGGCAATGCCACATCAACCAGAGATTTGAGAATGAGCATCTGCAAGAGAATTCCATTTGTCTCTCACACCAAATCTATGCACTCCCAGTTCCTCCCAAACAATTCACAACATACCCAGAGGAAACCACTGGAAACAGCAATTTTATGGGCTAACCTTGAACTGTGTTCCTATGCACATGGCTTCCATGGGACAAACTCAGAGCAACACAACCTCCCAAGGGACTTTTGTAAGGCCCAAACACACCTGCTATTATATTCAGTGAAAGATAAACTCACAGGCAGCTGAAATCCACCAAGTGCCAATGGTTCTGCTTGACACTGAGCTCTATAATTACAGTGTCACTCCATCCATCCCAGACCCAGGCAGCAACTCATGCAAGAGCTCCACAGCAGTGCCCGAGGAAGTCAACCCTGAGAAATACAGGAGGAAAAGCAGAAGGAATAATCACATACTGTTTTAGCCACCTGGTATTAACTTGTAATTAGCTTGTTGCACTCAAGGAGCAAAGTATATGGGAGCACAGAGTGACTTTTCTGTAATAAACAGGTCTTAAATTAATATGAAACGTATTTAAATGTAGCTTGAGTTTGGATTGGATGCATTGTACAGCTGAGTAGACTGAAAGCCCTGTGCTAGGCAGGTAGTGGGAGCCCACCTTTACCTAACCCACGTTTTTGGGAAAGCCAGCCCAGGTTATGCTTTCATACAATCACAGAACAATTCAGGTTGGAAAAAACCTCTAAGATCCCCAAGTCCAACCCCAACCCATCCCCACTGACCATGAACCTCAGTGCCACATCTACACAGTTCTTGAACACTCCCAATGATGGTGAGAATCCCTTTGTGCCACAAACAGGCATCCCAGGTGGGGCAGCTGTGGTGTGAATCACTTTCTGCCATGTCTTGGCAGCTCCAGTTGGCATTTTCCTCCTACTTGGGTGCTCTCTATTGAAATCACCTCTTAAGAATCTACACAGCCCCCAGAATGTTTTTTTGGTGCCTGAAGGAGAAATGCCATCACCTCCATCCCAAAGGGAAGGATCCCCAGCTCCTCACTGAGCCACAAACCCAAATTCTTGCACCCCCCTATTGAAGGCTTCCACATCAGACTGAGTTTCTGGTATCAGCCTTCAGGTTGAGTTTTTATTTCTCCACTGCCTTCCAGGCAACTTAAGATGTGCTCTCAGCCAAGGAATTGAAGTGTATTTATTTAGTGGTTATCAAGCCCCTAAATTGAACAGACATCTTTATCACGTTGCCAACAATTTAATGCTTGTGGCATGAGGTTCGTTCGACGTCTGAAAAGAAAGCTGCTCAGCTCTTACTAAATAAATAAGTGAGGTCATCCTTCATTCAGGCTACCAGATTCTTTGGTGCAAACATTATGAGAGGCCTTGGGACATAGTGGCTCCTCTGAGACTATTTCCATCTGGATTAGATTCTCTAATCTCTTCTTCCTTCCTTCCTCCCATCTATTTCCTTCCCTTTCACTATAAAGTAGCCACTATTTAACACTAATGTTCCCAGTCTTTTAGAATGGGGTGGGTATTTTTTTAAAACCAGAAATAAGGCTTAATTTAAGGTAATTACTCTTCCATTTGGAGGGTTTTGCTATTTGCAGGGCCTTATTTTTTTTTCTAGTCAAACTAGCAGAAGTTAGTTCTAAAAGTGATCGTTTTCTGCTAAAATTGTTCTTCACTCCTTATGAATTTCTGGGTGGCTGCAAACAAAAGTATTGCTCTCAGGAAATAGTTACCAAGGGGAGAAGGCAGCAGCCTTCCAAAGAAGGGAGGAACTGTGTGTGGAATTTCAGCCTGCTCTTCATTCACACGGGCCTCAGGATAAACTTGCCTTCAGGTCAATGGTGTGAAGGTCTTCCTATTGAAAAACAATGTTTTTCTATGATGAGTTTTGTTGTTAACATCCACAGTGTGGCATCAAGAGGTAGAAGGCTGTTGTGAGGATTAGTCTTTGCACTTGCAAGTGCCATAACAGCAGGGCTGTGAGGAGTGAAAGGTGTCAATGAATGGAAACATCCAATGGGGCACAGGTCAGGGACAAGAACAGGTGAGTAGGATAACTTCACTGGGAAAACTGGCATCATTTTGGAATTTCAGTGTCATATCCTCAGACACATCCCTCCTTTTGAGCTGGAAATGCTGTTTGACCAGAACGGAAGGATTTCAGACAGTTTTCCATGATTTGGGGATGCTTGGAACCGAAGGGCAAGCAACTGACTTCTGCACTGAGTAATCAACTCCATCCACATTCAATGTACTCTTAAGCTACGCAGCCCTCAAACATGTAATTCTGTCTTGGGAAGCAGTAGTCACTCTGTTTGATTTGGATTTGCTCGTATTTCCCTGCAAACAGCAATGAGAATTTAACTTTTAATATAGAGATATGTAACATATTTTAATATGTTACGTAGCAGGCAAACTGGTGGCCTAAAAGGAGGGGAAATTATGTGCTTGATATCTAAAGCGATGAGAAAGAAGGGGACAGATCCTTTAGCAGGACCTGTTGTGACAAGACAAGGGAAGGTGGTTTCCAACTAAAAGAAGGGGATTGAGATGGGATACAAGGAAAAAGTTTGCCCAGGGAGGTGCTGGGTTCCCCATCCCTGGAGACACCCATAGTCAAGTGAATGGGACTCTGAGCAGCAGATCAAACTGTGGGTGCTCCCATTCACTGCAAGGAGTGAGACCAGCTGGCCTTCAAGGGTCCCTCCCAACTCAAAGCACTCTATGACACAATTCTATGAAAACCATCTGGGGCATTTC